ACAAGGAAACCATTAGTATAAAATATAAAAGATGTAAGTAAGGACAATGGTTATCTCCAGAGGAATGAAGAGGGATTGGGGTTGGATTTGAGTGGATTTTGGGATATTGGCATATCTTTAGTTTTACTTGAATTGTGGTTACACAACACTGATTTATAACAATTCTTTAAATTGTGCCTATATGTTGTATGGTCCTTTGTGTGAGTGTATGTCATGAATACATACACACAAGAAGAGAAAAAATAACAGCAATCAGTAAATATATGAAGTATTCCAAATTTAATACAGATAAACAAAAAGGAAATAAAATGAGACTCAATTTTACACTCACAAGATCAACAAAAACCAAAGGTGTTGGAAGAATGTGTCTCAGGGGCGATAGCAAAGTAAGTCCACACGTATGCTCTGGACAGCAATGCAGTATGATTGAGTAAGGTTGCTGGGGTTCATTCGCTACGCCTTCACAGTGTCACTGTTTGGTATGGGTTGTTGAGAAATTCCAGCATATATGCATGAGGCATATGCAAAAAAGTTAATAGCACTGTATTTCATGCTAAAAAATTGGAAATAATTTCAACTGTCCTGCAACAGGAAAATGGATAACGGTACTGGAACTCCTGTGCATAAAGGAAAATTAATGAACTCCCATTTGTGCATTAATGTGGATGAATCACAGATGAAGAAAGTATGCTGAGGGGAAATGCATGTGGTATGGCTTCTTATTTATTATTGTCCAAACACACAGGACATAAAATTAAGCAGTTACATTTATGTGTGTGATTAAACATTAAAGAAAAATAAAGCACTATTAAATATAAAGTCTAAAGTTTTAAAAAACCTGGGTGGCAAATAAAAGAAAATGTGGAGACACATGAGCTTCAAATGTGTTGGTAATACTCTTTTTTTTTTTTTTTTTTTTTTTTTTTGGTTTTTCTCCGGTACCGGGAACCGAACTCACGACCTTGCGCTTGCCAGGCAGGCACTTTGCCCCTGAGCTAAATCCCCAGCCCCTGTTGGTAATACTCTTTTTCAATTCATGAGCTAGCTGAAAGAGTGATCATTTTGTTATTATTTTATATACTTTTCTTATGAGATGTATATGCATATGCTTGCTCTATCATATCTGTATTATCTATCAATTATCTATCTATCATCTATCTATCTATCTATCTATCTATCTATCTATCTATCCATCCATCCTCTACCTATCCATCTGCAAATAAGCATGACATATTTTCAGGATACAATATTAGTTTAAGAAAAACTAATAGGAAAGGAGAAAATGTTAAGAATGAGGTGACCATTATACATATTAAAATGGAATAACCTTCAAGATAAATTACTGGAAAAAAGAAAGGCACAGGAAATGTATATGGGATACTATGTTCAGTATAATAAAAGAACAAAGTAAGAATTGACACATTTTGCTTATTGGCAATGCACATCTTTACACAAGAACTTGCTGATTGTTACTCAGAGGAGCTAAGAATGTTTGAATGACACGTGTGGGTGGAAGAATTTTCATTAAATGCCTCTCTGCAGCTTTCAACTCTTGAACTGAGCAAATACATATAACAATTGTAATAGTTGCAAGTGAAATTTAAAAATAAATGGTAAAATCCTATCCAAATTTTCTGACTAATCTGAACCCTATGATTTATCAAAATGCATAGGCAAGAGAGAGAATCTGAGTATTTTAACAAAGGACTCAGGCATTCTGTCCCTGACCTTCTTTCCTAGAGGACCCGGTACAAGGAATGGGTCCATCTCCCTTGTGCCACAAGGGAGGGAATAAGGACCCGAATGCTGTGATTATTAGTTCTGCAGATTTCAGATTATAAGCATAACAGAGAACAATGGGACAGAATTCACTTCATGTCAAGCCACAAAATCACACCAAAAGGGTCAAATTTTCAAAGTAGCCCTCGTTAACAAAACAAATGCCACTCACACAGAGTGGTTTGCACAGAGACCTGTAAAATTTCCTATAGCTGTATTAAAATCTACTTTCTAACAAGAACTAGCTTATTACAGCTCTGCCAGAAGTTGAGCAACACAGAATAGCAGCAGCAAAGAACTAATGCTGTGAGCCAAAGTAAATCCATTTATTTATGATGTGGTCTGGATAATTTTTTTGTGGTTCGTATTTTGTAACACTTTCTAGGGATCTGAATTTTCCCTTATTAACAATTGTACTGCATTTTACTAAATATATCATTTAGTTGTCTAAATTTGGCAAAGTCTTCATTTCAATAAATTGGCTGTTTTATAATATAACATTTAGCTAGTGGTTTAAAAAATGCTTTTAGGAAGCACAGAGCCATGGTTTTCTTGGCTATTTTTTTTTGGTCAGTATACTATGCCAACATAAATTTAAACTTTCGAAAATAGTGTTCTAAATAATATATGTGCTAAAGTTGCCCTACTCTGATACATTATTCAAGTTAAAAAATGTTTGCCTGTCTCCCATCTTCAAAACAATTTACAAAAGTTTGAAAGACACAGGTGGAAAAAATATTTATATAAAGACCGCTTTCAAAAATTTTGTGCATAAGGAGGACTCACATATACTGTGACAGTTGATGAAAGACAGAAAAAAATAATCACTTAATTATCTTTGGTGGTCTGTATGCAAAACCTGAAGTTTATAGAGAAATCTGACTTATTAGACCTCTGTTAATTCCAGAAGAATTCCAGCGAGAAGGAACGTTTTTATCTGAATCTTGGAAGGTGAGAACAAGTTTTATAAGAAGTAGAATATGACTTGCAAAACAAGTGATGAGGAGGAACTAGCTAAGACTGGTATTATGGAAGTAAATGGCATATTTGGAAAATGAGCTCAAATAGGGTAAGTTTAAAGAGTATGTATAGTCTCAGAGAAATAAGATCATATCGCAGAGGGCCGTGAAAGCAGTGTTATGGTATACTGCTATTATTTTGTCAAAGAAAACCATTAAGTAGTTTTTAAAAAGTGTTTTGAAAATACATTAGCAAATACTTAAATTTGAAACATTTTCATAGAAGAAGAAATAACTATAGTATGGTAGCGAAGTGATTTTTTTTTAAAAATTGTGATAAAATACATATAATATTAAATGTACCATTTTAACTTTTTGTGTGTGTTTCTAGCAAGTGAGCCCAGCACGTTGTGTATGCAAAGCAAGCACTCTCCCACTGAGTTAGACAACCATGTCATTCTTAACCATTTTCAAGTATACAGCTCAGGGGGATTAAGGACATTCACAATGTTGTGAAACCATAACACTGTCTACTGATGTAACTCTTTTATCTTGCAAAACTGAAATTCTACACTCATGGTGCAATAATTCTCCTTCCCTCATTCCTCAGAGTTTTACTAGAATAAAACAAATAAGAGATGATAGACAAAATTTTAAAAATATGTGGGTAGCAAAAGATCAGTGAGATTTAGTAGATAGGTATGCTGTGCAGTAATGAGATATTTCTTGGTAACTCTCTGGAGAGATAGATAATATGATAGAGTTTAGATAATAGATAATTACACACATTTTGATAAGTACACATTTCCATAGGTTTAAGAAAGTGAAAAGGCTAAAAAACAGAATACAGTGGAATGGGTGAGGTGGTGCATAGATGGAAGATCTTTTATTAGAAGATGGAATAGAACTTTTGTTAGAGGTTAGACATCATAGGTCATGACGAGTAATGAGACCCACTGAACTTGACGTGTGGCTTTAGATAGAATGGCTTCACTGAAGCAGAATAGAAAGGTTTGTATAAGACCATTCGCTGAGAGAGCATAAAGCCACTTTAAGGATCACCTGGCTCATGTACTGACAGTGCCAGGACCTAGAGACAAAGAATGTGGAACTCAGTTATGGTTCTAAACACAACCTTCTGGCCTGAAGCCCCATCACTGCCCTTGAGGGAGTGCAGACAGCTGAGGAACGAACAGACACATCCAGTTATCAGGTTTTACAAGCTTCCAGTGGAAACAGAACAGTCCTGGAAGTTTCACTTGAGCCAGTAATCTTTATTGCGCACACACGATGTATTCCCCCAAGTTCTAGGATTTATAGATTATAATTTATAGTGATGTATAGTCAAGAAGGAGAAAATTTAACATCTTATGAGAACATGTGGTCATACTGAACCACAATATTATGATGTTTTCATATCCGATACAGTTTCTAGAGGAAAACAAAAATTTGTTTCATTAGTTTACTGCAAAATCAGCTGTCAGATGAGCCTTAATTTAAAGATAATTAGCTTTTTTTGGTAATTGGAAACATGCAGAGGATGTTGTAAAACACCCCAAAGTAAACAAACACAGTTGGTGGAGTAAATTAGTTTTGATTTACATGTGATTTTATATGCCTAGGGATTTTGGTCTGAAAGAAACTAAACTTTTTGAATACTAAAGCGATTTTAATTCTTTTTTCTTGGCTTGCCTACTATGGACATTATTTCTATAATCCACTTCTCCATAGTTTTAAAAGTTGCCTTATCATCTCTCTTTTGGTCATCAGAATTTCTAATGGAAAAAATAAATTCTAGTGAAAGAAGGTGTTGGAAATCTTCAGATTATGTTGCAATGATTTCATTTTGAGATAAATCTTATGATAAAAATTTGAGCTGGAGGGTAACATTCCACAGTGAATGCAATCCCTAAACAGGGACTGACTTAAATGGTCTTAAAATCAACTAGTTAGGAGAATGTGCTGATTGGGAAAGGATTGGGGAGGGTGTTTGAAATTCTATGTACCAAAATTTTGAGATTGTTGCTTTTGATATCACCTGAGAATGAATAAAAATCTAGGCTTTCTTTTCTCCTCTTTGTATTAGGATTTCCAAGTTTTTTTTTTTTTTTTCCAGTACAGGGAATCGAACTCACAACCTTGCGCTTGCCAGGCAAGTGCCGTGCCACTGAGCTAAATCCCCAGCCCCGCCAAGTTGTTTTTAAAAATAATTTTATAATTTAGTCATATTTTACTCATGGGGTTTATTGAAAGTGAACAGTTTATGCTAGTAGACCCAAATTTTTCAATTAAAGCTGGTTACACTCCCGGGATTAAGCAGCATCCATACCTAGTATGTGACTGTAGAGCAATGTTTCTAAACTTGTCGTCGTTATTTTCCTGTTGGTGCAAAAGGGTCATGATCACTTTAAGAAAATTTTTTAATGAGACAAGAATTTTTTTCTACATTTGCGCAAGGTTTCTCAGTCATAAACAAGTTTTGGAGGTTCACACAACTCTTGAATGACAACTATATTCCAGAAAGTAGAATATGAAACTTAGAGAAAACTCTATACTTTTCAAGCTTATCCTCTCCCCAGTCCCCTATACTGCCTTTCTTTTAACTGGATCCTGAGTAACTTTTGTCTTCTTTGCCCTTATATCCTATCTTAGTAAATCAATTTTAAGATTACATTATGCTTTCCAAAGTAATTTTTTTTGTAAAACATCTGGTTAGTATATGTTTACAGTGCATAATGATTACAGTTATGCTGAGGAGTTAGTACACATACATCTTAGTTCTTTTCTCTTTCTCTTTTTTACAGCCTCTGCCTTTCCCTACTCTCACTACTCCTTGCAACTATTGGTCCATTTCCATTTATCTTCTACTTTTATCATTTTCCCCTTCAATTTTTTTTCCTATCCCTTTCCTTTATTTATTTCTCCTGCCTCCATCTCTTGTTCCTCATCCATTTAAAGCTCTGCCTACTTCCTATTGATCTATCTTCTATTTTGCCCCTTCTATATTTTTTCTCATTTAAGTGAAACAAAGAAATATTTAAGTTTGTGTGTCTAACTTATTTGACCTGATACTATGGTCTCAAATTGTATGTACTTCAATATGAGTGGCTCAAGTTTACCTTTACGGCATAGTAGTACCCCATTGTATAATAAACACAACACTCTCTTTATCCATTAATCTTTTGATAGGCAAATAGACGAATTACAAGATTTAGCTATTATAAATTGTGTGGCTATAAACATGGGTATGCATACACCCCTGTAGATACCTACAAGGGGAATATCCGTGTGTACTGGCAGTTCTCTTATTAGTATTTTGTGGAATCTCCACAATGATTTCCATAGTGTTTGTATTAGTTTACATCCCCACCAACGACATAGAAGAGTTTCTTTTTTCTTCACATCCTCACCAGCATTTGTTTTTATTTGATTGCTTGATAATAGCCATTTATTCTGGAGTAAGATGGCATGTCAATATTATTTTAATTTCTATTTCTGTATTGGCCAAAATGCTCAACATTTCCTCGTGCGGTTATTGGCTATTTGAACATTTTCTCTGGAAATATGTCTAATCATATTGATTGCTTATTCTTTTATTGAACCTTTATTTGGGGGATCCAGTGTTTTTGAGTTCTTTATACATTCTAGATGTTAGTCCTCTATCCAAGAATAGCTGGTAAAAACATTTTTCCCATCTGTAGGTTGTTTCTTTATTCTGTTGGTCATTTCCTCTACCATGCAGAAGATTTTTTTATTTTTTAAGAAGATTTTTAATTTGACATGACTTCATTAGTTGATTTTTGGAACTATTTCTTGTGCAAATGGGTTTTGCTCAGAGTCCTTGCTTATTCCTACATCTTCAAGTATTACCTATTTTCCAGCAGATAAAATGTTTCTGTTGCAATATTTGTTTCAGTTACTTTCTTGTGGCTGGGGCACAATACCCAATACCCACAAATTAAATGAGAAAATGTTTATTTTGGCCCACATTTTTTAGATGTTTCAATCAATAATCTGCTGTCTCAAGGCAGGGCAGCATGGCACAGGGGTCTTTCAAAGAAGTCTTGCTTAGAGAATGACAAAAAAGCAGCAAGATCTAGGGAGAGGGAAAGAGTTACACCTCTTTAGGTCCTAAACCCAGTGATCCAATTCCTTCAACAGAGTTTCACATCCCAGCTCACATTTAGTGATAAGCTCACCAGTGATAAGCATCAACCCCCTAACTAATTATCTCCCCCAAAACCTACATTTGAGTGCATCAGGAAGGCACATCTAGATATAAACCATAACATTCCACCACTGGTCCCAAAAGACTCATGTGCACCTCTAGGCAAAGTACATTTAATCCATCTCTAAGAGCTGTCAAAGTTCTAATAGTTTCAGCACTGCTGAAAAGTCCTAGTACAGCGTCTTCTCTGTGATCTAAGGCAAACTCCTAGCTGCAAACTACTACAAAAATGAAAAGAAAGTTAAGCACTACCGGCGCACAAGGACACAGAGTAAATGTTTCTATTCCAAAAGGGAGAAATAGGGGGATAGAAAGAAATGGGATCAAAACAAGATTGAAGTCCCTCAGGGCAAACATTAAATCTTATAGTTCCATGTCCAGCACCCAGGGAAATCTGTGGCAAGATGTGGACATCAAGGCGGTTGGGCAGCTCTGCTGGTGACAGTTATAGCCCTCACGGCTTCTCTCTTGGGCTGGCTTTGCTCACTCCTTGCGGCTTTCTTTAGAGATTTCACATTTCTAGTTTTTCAAACATCCTGGAGTCTGCACTGCACTAGCTTCATCTTCACACCTTCACAAACTACCATGTCAGTGGCACACTGCCTGTCCTCCAGCTCTTCTTCTAAAATCTAGGTAGAGATCTGCCTGACCCTGCAACTCCTGCATACTGCATGCACCTAAACCCTGCTGCAAGTAGGAGCAGAAGCTGAGCCCTTTAGCATCTTGTTGGTGGTTGCGGAGACCTCGGAATGCCTGGATGACTGAGCACAGTAAACTAAGTTTAAAGGATCAATCTCCATTCCCTAAACTGCTCCCATTCCAGAGTATGTCCTGGTGCTGTCTTCTTAAAGCAAAGTCTTTCACCTTGTAATTTTGAGTGAACAAAGAGTGAAGTTCTGCTGGTTCTTGTGATACCCTTGGGCTACCTTTTCTGTTGTCCCGTTCCAAAATAGTTGGCTTTTTCATGCTAATCTTTTCAACTACATAATTCTCCTCTGAACCTCTTTGCAGGCCCCAAATTTGTTGGAACTTTCTTCTTGGTAAAACCCAAAACTTTAAAAATCATTCTGTTCAGGCATTTTCTCTGGATTCTGAAGTCAGAGCTGACTAAAAGTCCCAAACTGTAGCCATGTCAGTGCCTAATATTAGACTGTACTGAAATTTTTTTCACCAGATTAATTAGTTCACCAACTTTCATCTCAGCATCTCACAATATCTCAGTATGGGAACAAAAGCTACCCAAATTTTATGTTAGAACTTAACATACATGGACTGCAATTCAGTGACCAATGCAGTCTTTGTTCCTAACTAAAACTTTCTGAGGTTGGTATTTACCAGATGTATTTCTAACTCCTTTTACCATGTATTCTGGTATTCTGAGCTCTGACTAGAATCACCCAATAGGCTCAGCTTGCAGCATTCCAGGGCTGCTTCTGAACCAAATGGTCAGGTAGTGCCACTCTAATGACCCCACTCCTGGTACGAAAATCTGTCTTACTTTCTCACTGCTGGGATATAATACATAACACTCACGGCTGAAAAGAGGAAAGTATCATTTTTGCTTACAGTCTGTAGATGTTTCAGTCCATAGTGAGCTGGCTCCAATGCAGGGTGGCTCGGCAGAGGGGCAAAGCAGAGAATGGTTGCTTATGGCATGAATGTGAAGCAAACAGAGGGAGAGATCAAGGGAGGAAAGAATGAGATACACCCTTTTAGGCTACACACCCAGGGACCTAACGCGTTTAAGCAAGCTTCACATCTTAAATCACATTTAGCTATAGACTCATCAGTGGACTAATCCATTGATAAGTATCATGTCCCATGATCCAATCACTTCCCACCTGTGAGCACATAAGACTCATGGATTCACTAACTAGTGCATGAGGCTTTGGTGAGACATCTAGATATAAACCATACAACATTTACATCTTTGGTCATTTTGATTTTAGTTAAGTATGTGGTGAGATATATAGGTCTTGGCTCAATCTTCTTTATATGGATATTTGATTTTCCCCAAAACCATTTATTAAAGAGGATATCTTTCCTGCACTGCATGTTTTTGGCCCCTTTGTCAAAGATCAAATAGGAAAATGTGCCTGGAGTTGTTTCTGTTTCCTCTAATCTTTTCCAGTGATCTACATGCTTCCTTTTATGCCAGTACCGTGCTATTTTAAGCACAGTAGTATAACTTCAAATCTGGGATTCTGATGCCTTCTGCTTTGCTTTTGTTATCCAGGATTGCTTTTGCTATTTTGAGTCTCTTCTGGTACCAAATGAATTTTAGAATCATTTTCTATAGCTCTATGTTGAAGGCTGTTAGTATTTTGATTTGAAGTAAATTAAATCTATGTGTCAGTTTTGTAAATACAATTACTTGGATTATATTAATTCTTTGTATTGAGGAGTAGGGTTTCTGGTTTCACAATACTGACAGAATTTTGGGGTGAGTGTAACCCCACACATAGGCTAATGTTCATGTTGTTTGCTGTCATGTAATTATCAGCAATGGGTTGAGGGTACTTTTGGTCAGAGATTTGCAAAGCATACCTTCTCTGACATCCGCAACCAAAATCTGGGCATCAGTGCCAGTAGGCCCTTGTTGTTACAGCTCATAGTGTTATGGCTCTTGACAGTTCCTGACCATTCCTATGAGCTCCCCAATAGCTGAGGCTTGTAGCACCCTTTCCAGTTACCTGTGGCTCTTCTAGTAGCTTCTGTGCCTTAGGTATGGTTGTGTATGGCTTCACAGATCTGTGTCAGTCTCCAGTAATTGCCACTAGTCACCATGTGTCACTGCCAGTCAAGACTGGTTGATGCCAGTTACTGCTGCTGGTCTCTGGTCTCCAATGGTCTCTGCTGCCTGTCTGAAATATTTCAGGACTAGGAAATTCTAGTGTTGCCAGTTCCTTTTGTTGAAAACCACTAAGCCCAAGCAACCCAATATAAAAATTATGAATAGACAATAGGACCACCTGAATGAGGCCCTTATTTAGGACCTACGGTGCATCACAGGGTGTTAGGACATAGGAAGGAGTCTTCATGAACTATTCTGAGGACTGTGAGCAAATGCTGCTTAAATAGAGCAGAAATAACCATTTACGTACTTTTCAGGCTTTATGCAGACCTATTTGAGAACTTTTGAAATAATGACAGACTGGACAGGTTCACCCTGTTGTTACAGGGTGAAGTCATTAGAAGTACCTGAATAGCAGAATCATCTGGGATAGGACTGTGTTTCAGTTTTTAAATATTAGTATGACACTTGCTGTTGGTTTGTCATAAATGGCTTTTATTAGAGATTAAGATCATCGATTCCAATTTTCTGTAGGTTTTTTTTTTTTCTTTTTATCCTGAATGGGTGTTGGACTTTGTCAAATGCTTTTTCTTCATCTTTTGAGATAATCATGTGATTTTTGTCCTTGGTTCTGTTAATATGGTGTTTTACACTTGTTGATTTGCATATGTTGAACCGTCCCTACATCTCCGGGAGGAATCGGACTTGTTTGCCAGTATCTTGTTGAGGACTTTTGCATCTATGTTTATTAAGGAGATTTGTCTGTCATCCTCTTTTGGTTGAGTCCTTGTCTGCTTTTGGTATCAGGATAATACTTTCTTCCAGGAATGAATTTCAGAGTACTGTTTCTCTTTCAATTTCATTAAAGAGTTTAACAGTAATGGCATTAGATCTTCTCTAAATTTCTTATAGACTTCAGCAATGAGTCCGTCAGAACTTGGGCTTTTTTTTGTTGGTAAGTTTTTAATTAAATTTTCAATTTCATTGACTGATAATAGGGGCTGGGGATTTAGCTCAGTGGCAAAGCGCCTGGCTGGCAAGCGCAAGGTCACGAGTTCGGTTCCTGGTACTGGAGAAAAACAAAAAAACAAAACAAAACAAAACAAAACAAAACAATTTCATTGACTGATAATGGGTTATTTAGAATTTTTATATTTTCTTGATTCAACTTCAGTAATTCATATGTATTTAGGAACCTTTCCATTTATTCTGCATTTTCTATCTTATGAGAGTAAAGGTTCTTAAAGTAGGTAATGATGATCTTCTGGCTTTCTGCAGGATCTATTGTGATTTCACCCTTTTCATTCCCAATTGCATGAATTTCAGCTTTTCTTTCCTTATTTTGATAATGTTTGCTAATGGCTTGTTAACTTTGTTTAATCTTTGATTCATTTATTATTATATTGTTTTCTTTGCTTCAATTGCATTAATTTTTGCTCTCATCTTTATAATTTCCTCCCTTGTATGAGCTTTGAGCTTGATTTGTTCTTCTTTTGCTGAAGGTTTGAAGTTCAACATTAGGTCGTGTATTTGAGCTTGTTCTGTTTTCCTGATGTGAGAATTTACCGCTATTAATTTTCCTCTTATGATTGCTTTCCTTGCACTCCATAAGTTCTTGTATGTTGTATTGGTGCTATCATTTAATTGCAGATACTGTTTAATTTCTTCTTTAATTTCATCTGTGATGCATTAGTTGTTAAGGAGGGTGTTAATTAATTACCATGTGTTTATGTAGTTTTTCTGTTTTTTTGCCATTGATTCCCAGTTTCATTGCACTATGGTCATAATAGGCAAGAGATAATTTTGATTCTTTTGCATTTGTCAAAGAATGTTTTAAAGGCTCTTATGTGGTCTATTTCTTGGAAAAGACTCAAATGCCCATCAACTGATGAATGGATAAAAAGATGTGGGTTTTTTTATACAATGGAGTACTACTCAGCCATAAAGAAGGATAAACTTGGACCTTTATACTTAAATGGATAGACCTTGAGACCATACTTTTAGGCAAAATCAATTGGACACATGTAAATATCACATTGTCTCTCTTGTGTGAGTAACTGAAAGTGTAAATAAGTACAAAATGTATAATAAATATTGTGAAATAGGAATTAATTGTTCAAAAGGAAAAGAGAATATGGGGTGTGTGGAAAGGAAAAGAAAACAATAAGAAAAAAAGGCTGAAAGGGAAACAAAGACTTGTAAGTAAGGAAGGGAAGAAGGGTTGAAGAGAGAATAGGGGAATGGGCAAAAAGAGGAACTAAGTTATATCATATACAGGTGCAAATTTCCTGTGAGGAATGTGACCATTTTGCATCTCTAACATGTACCAATAAACTTAATTAAAAAAATAAAATGAGGTAAAATTTTGAAGGATGCTCTAGGAAACCAGGCTCTATCGATAACAGACAATTGGGGTTTGAGGTCTTTGGAGACATCAGCAATAAGCCTGATCCCTCCCTGATGTTAGTCCTTGCAGATGAGGTTTTCCAGCTAACCCTCAGAGGAGCAGCAGCAGCAGAAGCAGGGCTTTCTTCTCCCAGGGTTGCCTGGAGGAGGCCAAAGGCAAACAGAAGGTGGGTGAGCGACAATTACCAGCAGAGTCCCTCCCCACTTCTGATGAGAAAAGGGAGTATTGGGCTTCCTTTCTTTTCTGTCTCATAATGAGCTCTTTTTCTGTGATCTAGGAGCATCTTCTCTGCTAGGAATTCATGAGACAGAAGAGAGTATATTATTAGTTTGTAAGCAGCGTAAAATTGCAGACTTCTCAGTTTTTGGCAATCTGAATGTTTATTCATATTAGAAAATTTTAAATCACTATAGTTTTAAATATACATTTTAATAAGTGGTAAGACTATCTCTTCAATATTTTCTCTCCCTTAGATTTCTTGATTATTATTTATTTTTACTGGAAATAAAGCCTGTTAAGATAAATTTATAATAACATGTTAATAATTTCATTTGCCTCAAATTGCATAAAATATATTGACTTAGAAAGAATACATATAATCAAAATATTGTCTTTCTGTCCAAGGATTAGATATATGACTTTTTCTTAATGTATTGTTATGCGATGGTCAGTGGTATTTAAAACCTGTGAAACGCATATTTTGTTAATTTTATTCTATTGCAGTATATCTTATGTTTTCTTCTTAAACTGTATTTTATAATTATGTATTCATACAAATAAAAGTGGCTATGTTATGCTCTGAAAACCAAAATGTCAAAATTTTTGCTGCTGATTTTTTTCTTACACATAGCACATTTATACCACCAGTTGCTGAAGGGGATCATGCTGGGAAGAGAATCCAGCTGGAGCATCTGTTTTCTCACCACTCACAGTCTGACTGCAAAGTCAGTGCCAAATATTTTAGCATTTCAATTCAGCAGCATGCATTTCCAGCCCCACTTTCTGTATTAGATAACACTACTTCCTGCACCAGACAAGCTTATTAAAGGCCTGGCATAACACACAACAATTTTACTCTTTGTGCATGTATCACTCCAATGTGTATATTCTAGTTAGCCAGAAATTCTCCAAATAATGACTTGGAATTCCCCAAATAATGGAGATAAAAATCTTCTTCTGTTTTGTGGCCCCAATCTTAAATATCTGGTTTCCTAGCTTGCTCAGGAATTTGTCTCCATTCCTTTTGAGGGAGGAAGAGAAGATAGAAGACTCTGCATGGGAGCATATTGTGGCTTCAGAAATTACACTTATTATTTTTGCTTATATTTCAGTCACATACTATTGTTAACTGCAAGAAAAAATGTGTAAATAGTCTAGCTGTGTAACTCCAGAAAGAAACAAAAATGTGCAAAAAGTTGGGCAAGACTTAAACATTTGTTAAAGCTGTCATTTTTGATATTTTGGTGAGGGATCACATGTCCACCGAAGTAGCTGGTTAGTGTAAAACACCACAGAGACCCGTAGCCTGATACAAAAGGGACGATGAGTTTAGGTGACGGCTGCCGGGTTTTTCAGGGTGTGATGGTGCACAGCTGTAATCCCTGAACTCTGGGAGGCTGAGTCAGCAGGATTCCAAGTTCGAGCTCAGGTTGAGCAGCAGAGTGACTTAGCGAGACTGTGTCTGAAAATAAAAATATTAAAAGCCCAGTGATAAAGCTCAGGGTGAAGCCCTCATTTCCTAGCGCTAAAACAAGATTGCCAGCCTTTTGAATAGAATTTGAAAGAATTAAAACCGATTTTATAAATCAATGGCTTTATATAGTTGGAAAGCCCAGTTACTTCTGGATCTCAAATGCTAAGATTATGTTAAAAACTTCTGTGTGTATTTGTTTACTCAAGCTAGTGTAACAGTACCACAAGTTGTGTGACCTGAAAAACTGATTTTCTAACAGTCATACAGGCTAGAAATGCAAAATGTTGGTGTCTCCAGGTTGGATTCTGGTGAGGATGCTCAGCTTTACTTGCAGACAGCTTACTTCTAGCTGTGTCTTTGTACAGGTTCATTTTTGCACACAAAGGAGGGAAAGAGGGAGGAAGGAAAAGAGTGAAAGGACAGAGGTGGAGGAAGGGATGAGAGAGAGAGGGAGTGAGAGAGTAAGAGAGAGGAGGGAGAAGGAGAGAGGGAGGGAGGAAGAGAGAGAGAGAGAGCTCACATCTTTTCACATCTTTTTCTTTTTAAAAGACACTCATATTATTGGATGAGAAATTACCCATATGACTATTTAACCTTAATTATCTTCCTAAAAGTCCTATGTCCAAATATAGCCATATTAATACTTAGGATTTTAATATGTATATTGACTGAGGTAGAACAGAGTTGAGTCCAATACTGAGTACCAATGGCCCAAGAAGACTTTTTTTGTTTTTTTTTTTCCGGTACCGGGAATCAAACTCAAATCTTGTGCTTGCCAGGCAGGCGCTGTGCCGCTGAGCTAAATCCCCAGCCCTCTCAAGAAGACTTTTTAATAAATCAACTCAGCCTTGTTAATATTTCAGATGGTATAAGAGAGTATCCTATGATCCATTTTTTTCTCATTGATAACATTTTTACGATCTGTTTTAAATTTTACTAGATAAGTGTCTTTTAAACTGTTTTCTTACACAACTTCATTTTTTACTTACTGGTTACATTCAATGATCTGCAAATTATATATCCTCTGTCCATGTTTGATCTCTTCTGAGGTAGAAAATACAGATCTGACAGGTCATCTTCCGTAACTGGTTGATGATTAGCTGGTCCTCTTGGAGTTATTCTTGATTTGCTGACTAATCACGTTTCTCTGTAACCAAGGTTAAAGTTCAGATCCGAAATGATGATGGATTCGTCAAGAAAACTGTGATCTTTTAGTTTCCCATTAAGTTGGTGAAAAGGGGCAGAATATGTGACATCAAAACATAACACTTTAACACAGGGATTTATTTTGAGCTGTTGAAAAACAGCAGGTGCAATAAGGGCACACCGACCTCCCCTCTTTTTTCCTATGAGAAGGAGATTAAACAACTGTGGAAAAGATCTCTGCCAGACACGAAGAGCGGGTACCAGATAATTGCATGCAAATGGACTTTATTAGAATAACTTACCTCCAATTATTCTCCCCATAGCTTTCAGTACTCTTCCAAAAGGATATCTTTGTTTAATCAAGTATATAAACACTTTGAGCCTTCCTTTTCTCCTTGAGATTCCCATGTAAATACTTTTCTCCTGGTAATTTATAACATGTTAATTCAATTCTCAGGCTTATCTGAAAACCCTTTGGGTAGAGGTAAAATTTTACTTTCCCTACAGTGATAGTCCTTTCACTGGGTAATGCAGGCTATCTAAATTATTGACTCCTACACAAGTTATATTAGTTAAGAATTCCAGATCCAGGCAAACAATTCAGTAGCATAGCAGGATACAAAGTCAACACTCAGAAATCAATAGCCCCCTTGTACACAGACAACAAACTCACTGAGAGAGAAATTAGGGAAACCAACACTTCACAATGTCATCCAAAAAAATGAAATACTTAGGAATCAGTCTAACAAAGGATATACATTGAAAATTGAAGCACTCTGATAAAAAGAGATCAAAGAGGATTTCTGAAAATCGAAAGATAGATATCCTTTGCTCATGGATAGAAAGAAGCAACATTGTTAAAATGGCCATACTCCCAAAATTGTTGTACAGATTTAAAGCAATCTTAATCAAAATATCATTAGCATACCTCCCAGATCTAGAGAAAGCATTCCTAAAATTTATCTAGAACTAGAAGAGACCAGAATAGCAAAAGTAATCTTGGAAACAACGTAAAGGCAAGAGGCATCACAAGACCTGACTTGAAATTATACTACAAAGCTACAGTGATAAAATCAGCATGGTACTGACAAATAAAACAGAGCTGAGGATCAATGGAGCAGATTAGAAGATGCAGACACAGCTAGAAACACACTCAGCCACCTTATCTTTGACAAAGGGGCCAAACATATTTACTGGAAGAAAGATAGCCTCTTTAATAAATGGTGCTGGAAAAACTGGCTTTCCATGTGCCAAAGACTAAAACTAGACCCATGTCTATCACCACGCACTAAACTAAAGTCAAAATGGATCAAAGGTCTAAATATTAAAACAAAAACACTGAACCTACTGGAGGAAAAAGTAGGTAGAAATCTTGAAGATGTAGGGGTAGGTGAGAATTCATGGATAACTGAAGATATTACAACAGTTCTTGGATGTTTTAGTAGCATTGTTGTTAATATTATTGATAATGTAAGAAAATATGGGAAGTTTTTGCAATATTTGTGATTATAAATTATGGTTTGATTTCCCAAAAGGAAATTCCAGAAGCTGATGTCAGATGATTTCAATGCCTAAGTTCAACAAAATTATAGTTAGGATTTTTGAAATAATTTTCTTATATGGTCCCAAGATGTAAATTAAATCAAAATATATTCAGTACACACATAAACAAATTAAGAAGTGCTATAATAGGTTGTAGAAAGAAAAACTCTCCAAGAATTCAACGCAGTGAGTTGGAGATCAATTGATAAATCCGAACTGGATGGCAGTAAAATAATTCAGAGTAATAAACTGATAGATATTGCCTCTGTGAGATTTATGAGAAAATTCATGGGCTATCTTAATCTTGAAAGGAGTGATGTTCAAGGAATCGGTTGATGGAGATATTGAGTGAAAAACCACTGTATTTTATTATAATTGCAAACCATATTGCATGTCATGCTGGTATGGCTTCTGAAAACATAGATTGCATCAAAATGCTTTTTAGTAGGTGAAGTACAAGACAGAATTCAAGAGAGAAAGCAAGAGAATAAAAACATCCTGAGTGTGTGGATATGCCCCTAGGTGATATTTGTGCATAATTTACAACAATTCTAAAGAAAAGAGAGGGGAAAAGCAGGAGAAATCCAGTTAGGAAAACTGACTTCCAAGTCACTCTGAATCAATATGGCTGCTGCAATATGAACATGGCTTCCCCACTGCCTTCAGCACTGCAGAAGTGGTATCTCATTATCCTGCTTGGCTTTGGGCAGTGTCACAGTGAGAGCACTATGCAAATATATGCACACTGTGATTTCAAAAGACACCATGACCAATGTGTGTGCAGGAGAGTAAACTGAGAGATGAAAATTTGGGGATTATTTTATAGGGAAAATAGGGAATAGATTCAGTAGTATTTCATTTTGAAATGAGAAAATTTAGAGTTGATAATAATGGTTGATGCACTGAATTAAAATATTTAATATTGAAAAGACTGGTGTGTGGGTGTTAGATTAGGACTCTTTCTGCCTATAAATTAGGCTTGTTTAACAACCCAGCTGATTTCTGGGGACACTTTTATGTCTAAAATTTTATAATTTTAAAAGACAAAGATTAAAATTTGTCTGTGTAAAGAACTGGAATCCTAAAGACTAAGTTTTATTTAAACACAATATAAAATTTTAACAAAATTGTATCATAGTTGGGTGGGAGTACGGTCTTCAGATAGAGCATTACGGTAAAATCCTACCTCTGCCAATTACAACCATGTGATAACTGACAAATTAAACTTTCTGTGACTTGGTTTATTTATTTATTTATTTATTTATTTATTTATTTATTTATTGTCTTTTTGATACAGGGTTTCACTATGCCGTTCAGGCTGGCCTTGAACTAATTTTGCAGCCCAGATTGGCCTTGAACTCACAGTGACCCTCCTGCCTCAGCCTCCCAAGTGCTGGGATTACAGTCATGTGCCACCACACCCAGTATGAATGGTTTTCTATCTGAAAATCAGGCATAAATAGTAGCACCCAAATCTTAATACCTCTTGAGGAGTAAATGAACTAGTAGATTATTTAAAATATGACTGATAACACTTTCAGATAGATAATAAATAGTCCATAAATGTAAGCCCTTGTTGTTGTTAAAGATGTTAAGAAACACAAGAGGTTGTCTTATAAATAATCACACATGACGGGGGAACAAATCAGTCTTGCTTTTGGGGCAGGAGTCTATGAGTCTATGATTTCTTCTCAGTAACGAAGCCCAGTGGAAAGGCAATAATCATTTCTAAGAAGGTTCTGTGTCTTCCTGCCCCTATTCTATGAAAGGGGAAGACAGTGTAGTGACAGTTGTACTTTCTTACTGTATTGTTGATTCTTAAAAAATAAGTACAAACATGCAGTGAAGCATGAGTACTTTCTGCCAGAAAACAGCACAGAGTGAATTGTACTTGGATGTCAGCCACTGGATGCAAGCCATTTCTGTTTTGTAGGGCGCTGAGAGAGAAGCGGTGAAGTCTGAGTCTCAGAGTCCAGGGGCTGGTGCAGAGCACAGCCTGTGTGCCTTCCTCCCGCTTTGCTTTTGAGTCATCAACTTACAGTACAACCTTGGGGCTGCATCACCTCATCACATAGAGAAAGCCCTACACTTAAATGCACGGGCCCATCTCAAGACCAACTTGCCTACTTTCCAAATTGAACATTTACAACGCAAAAGTCAAGTTAATTTTCCTTCTCCCTCCCATAGGTTTTTGTTTGTACCTTTCCAACCACAATTATCAAAATCTCCCAATTGATCTTTCACCTCTGACAACAAATCGTAAAACACCAGTTTTTTTTTTAATCATAGTTCCTTTTCTCTGCAGAAAATTCAAATATTTGTTGAATAAATATATGAAATTATTTGGAAAAGGTGAAAATACTAGATACTGTTAAATTAATGATTATTTTGCCAATTTCTACTGTGTTCCCTTGCTGAAGCTTGGTATTGTGATATTTACAAATGTTTCAAAAGAAATTCTTTGAATCTGACCTCATTGAAAATGTGAATAATTTCTAGACACATATTCACTTTCAATTCTTCATAGAGTTGCAGGCTCAATATAACAGGTGTACAAAAATATTAAATTCATGGACTAACTGCTGAAAATGATCTGACACAACTAATATTACCAATTATTTAAAAGGAGTCTTCAAACTTCTAAACATCATTTGGGTGTTTACTGTGATAAGTACCTAAAATGCACTCTCTTGTTTAGTTCTCATAATAAATATATGAAATCTGTAATATTATTATTCTAAGTTTACAAATAAAAATTTGACAGAGGCAAAATAAGTTAGTTGTCCTAGGTCGTACTTAGTACAACTGTTTTGTAGTAAATTTTTGACTCAGTAACTGGTAAGATGGTAAAAGCCTTCCCAGCTGTCATTCTGTTCTAGTTCTTGTTAATATTACCTCAGCAATGCAGCACACTGAAAAATATGAATATAGATCCAAGCACTTTTAGTTTTCTCCAAGTTTCTGAATTATTGTGGAAGATCATCTTAATAACAAGGTATTATTATTTTAAGACAATATCAAGACATTTATAAGTGAATAACTTTGAACTTTGAATATAATAAACTAAATTTACCCTGCTTTACATTTGGAATACAAATATTTCCCCAAATAGTACAGCTAAATGGTTAAGAGTTTGATCTTGGAGACTTGAGCTCAAATTCCTGCCTTTGTCACTGTAAGCACTGGCAAGCTGTTTCATCTCTCTCTGCTTCAGTTTCTGCTCTTGTAAAATGCAGATATAATAGGCCTTTCCTTGCAGGAATAATGAATGGATGTTGTGGTGGATTAACTAATGGTCAACTTGTAACACCCAGCTGAACTTAATCCGCGTGGCTCTGGGAGTGGCAGGTCCACCTGAGGATGGTTGCCAATAGCATAAAAGGACAATGGGAGGGGAAGATGGTGCACTGTTGATTCTCTAGGAGAAGTTTGTCATGCTGATTTTCCTGATATGAACTTAGTTGTTATCATCAGAGCAGTTCAGGTCTGTGTTGTCCCTGAGGATGGCTGTGGTTCTCTTTGCCGGAGCTCTAGTCCTTACCTTAGATGTCACTTCCTGCCTCCAATGCAGGTCCCTCACCCTGCTGGCACAGATTTTTCACCCTGCTGGAGCAGACTTTCTACCACCTCTGATCTTTGGGCCTTCCCAGTGCAGATCCTTGATACAGACTTGCATGAGATGTTGTGGGCTCTATGCTTCCAGTTGGACTCATGGAGGACATGGCTACCGGCTCTAGGTCTTCAGCTGAACTCATACAAGGCATTGCCTTGGAAGCCAGGCTTTCACCTGATTTGTTTTAGTCTCTAGTGTATAGACAAATCTCCTGCACTCTTCTGCATTTGACTCTTTGGGTGAATATTGTAAAATAATCCTATAAATTATGTGTCCTGAATTAAATCTATTCCCTTGCAAGGCATGACTACAACAAACATTAATTCATAAAGATATATAA